AGGCAAATGGTGGGAATTAGAAAATATCATCCTGAGTGAGGCATCCCAAAAGCAGAAAGACACATATGGTATATACTCACTTAAAAGTGGATATTCGACATATAAGATAATCATACTAAAATCTGTACACCTAAAGAAACTTAAGCAAGAAGGAGGACCCTGGGAAAGATGATCAATCCTCATTCAGAAAGGCAAATGGGACTGATGTCAGAAGAGGGAAAACAGGACAGGAGCCTACCACAGAGGGCCTCTGAAAGACTCTACCCAGCAGGGTACCAAAGCAGATGCTGAGACTCATAGCCAAACTTTGGGCAGAGTACAGGGAACCTTATGAAAGGGGGAGATAGAAAGACCTAGAGGGGAAAGGAGCTCCACAAGGAGAGTAGCAGAACCAAAAAATCTCAGCCCGGGAGTTTTTTCTGAGACTGATACTCCAAACAAGGACCGTGCATGGAGATAACCTAGAACCCCTGCACAAATGTAGTCCATGGCAGTTCAGTTTCCAAGTTGGTTCCCTAGTAATGGAAACAGGGACTGTCTCTGACATGAACTAAGTGGCTGGCTCTTTGATCACCTCCCCCTGAGGGAGGAGCAGCCTTACCAGGCCACAGAGGAAGACAATGCAGCCATTCCTTATGAGACCTGATAGGCTAGGGTCACATGGAAGGGGAGGAGGACTGCCCCTATCAGTGGACTGGGGGAGGGGCATGGGAGAAGAGGGAGGAAGGGTGGGATTGGGAGGAGATGAGGGAGGGGACTACAGCTGGAATAAAAAAATGAATAAATTGTAATTAATAAAAAATAAATTAATAATAAAAAATATTAGGAACAAGGCTAAGCTTATGGCTTAAGTCAGAGCAGATTAGAAATATGGATAAGGCCTGGTTACAGTGTGAGCTGAGACTAGGGTTAGGGTTTTAGGCTTGTACTACAGCTTAGTGTTAATATTAGAATCAACTACACTGGTCTTGTTAGATTCAGGGATAGGGTTAGGGCTGGTGTTATGGTCAGGGTTATAGGCTAAGTTATGGTTAACTTTATTCTTAGGGTTAAAATCCGAGTTAAGAGTTAGGACTAGGCCAAAGGTTAGGAATCAATCTTCAACTATAGTTAGGATTAGGGCTAGAGTATTATTTACACACATATATTCATATGATTTTTATGTGTACATGTTTTGCCAGCATGCATGTCAGTGTGCCACATGAAGTTATCGGTGTCTTTGGATGAGCTGGGACTGGAGTTACAGCCAGCTATGAACCACCATGTGGGTCCCGGGAAATGAACTTGGGTCTTCTGCAGGAGCAGTTAGATGAGTCACCTATCTCCCCAGCCTGTAATTTAGTATCTTTAAAACAATCTCTTAGCTCTACCTTTTATGAGCCACCAAAAGATAAAATTTAGGAGCACTTGCCGATACTGTCTAGGCATTGAGAGGAAGGTAAAGTTAGTGCGATCTCCTGCAGTCTTGCCTTAGCAACTTAGGAAAGATAAAGAACCTGTGATTGTTTTTTATAGTCTTAAGAGTTGCTAGGACACAGAGCAGAGTCCAGCAGATGATGGTCTAAGGGAGTATAACAGCAACAGGCCCTTGAGGCTCCAATCCTTTCCTAAGCAAGCACCCCAGTGCGACTCCACCAAGTGCTAGATAATCTGCTAGTTGGATTAAGTAAACAGCTGAGTGTTTGATTTGAGCAGCTCCTAACTAGAAAAATCATACTTTCTTAAAGAAATGTAATCTCATCTAGGAATGTGGCTAGGTGGAGGGAGGCAGAGTCAGAAATGAAGCTAGGCTAGGCACGGTGGCACACTTCTTTAATCCCAGTACTTGGAAGACAGAGACAGGCAGATCCGAGTTCAAGGCCTGCCCCACAGGATATAAAATAAAACCCTATCTTAAAAAAAAAGGAAAGGAAAAAAAACGTAAAGGGTTAAGGGGAGTAGAACACAATGAATGAATGAATGAATGAATGAATGAATGAATGAATGAATGAATGAATGAGGTGAGTAGATATCCAGTAAGAAATAAACAGGAAATGCATATGGCGTAGTTTGGTTGGTGATGTGTATGCTTGGCATACACAAAGCTAGATTTACTCTCCACCATCAAAATACAAATTAATTTAAAAGCCCAACAAATTAATGAAGGTAGGAACTACACACAAGAGCCTGGCCATGAGCTCCTTACCCACCCCTCTGCAGGGCCAAGGTGGGGGTTTGTAGAGAGGTCTGGGCCAGCATAGTGAGGAGTTCTGATCACGGCATCTAAGTCCAAGACAGTCCTACAAGACTTTTTAGTTACATGAAAAATGAATCCTTTTCTTTCTGATGGGTATAAAATAGTTCAGATTAGCAATTCAGAGTTCTATTATCGCTAATTACATAAATAAAAGCAGATGTGTTTAATTTTCTGTACTCAGCACCGTGAAAATTTAAAGATTTTTAACATTAAAAAAATCAAGGTCACTAGTATACAGTAGGTATGTTGCTGCCTAGTCTTCTGAGAAAAGCTAGTAATTCAAACCAGTTAAAGTTAAATTATAGTCAATGACCATTTCATTTTTATTAGGTCCAAAGAAGACTCCAATTCCCCAAACTCCAAAAGACTGTCCAAATAGTCAGGAATAAGCTCAAGCTGGGCTACAGAATTCTTGCAGTAAAAGACAGCATTCCTCAGGAACTCAGAAGCCGGATCCCCTGTACCAAAAGGAGTCATTTCCCTTACCTTTGGCAGAAGTAATATATGCCAAATACACGGCATTAACAGTACGTCAAAGCCCATGCAGGCATCCTAAGTACCTGTTACACATTTCAAAATCTATGCTACCTTCCTAGCATTTCTCCCCTCCTTCCTGATGCTGAACTCCCTCCAGTTCCAAAGCTTCTCTCCCCAGCTACCCGTTCTTAGAACCCAGCCCTTCTCTTCCCCTCCCCCACTCTCTGCTTTTCTTACATTTCCTCTATTCTCTGCTAGTCTCCACTCTCCAGAAGCTAGAACTGGCCATGTTCAGTCTACTTTTCTTTCTGCTCTGGACTCTTGCAGATGCCTCTGGCTGTTCTCCCTCTTACATCTACAATAAAAACCTTCCCCTTAACTATACAAGGAGTAGTCATGTTGTCAGTTTATACTTTTAAAATGTATCCATCCAAAATGACTTGCATCCTTTTTACCCAGAAGCTTTCCAATAATAACCCACAGGAAAGGATATGCAACAGGCACAAAGTATTAATTGGGATAACTTTTCAATCTCCTTCCATGCCATTCTTTTATCTAAGTTACCATTTTACCAAATGATTTAAGTGCTTTTGAAGAAAAATAAGCAATTTTTCCAGTTTTTCTTCTGAGCTGAATCATGAGCCTGGAGTACACAGACTGATTATGAACATTATCTTCAATCTTATTAAGAAATGCAAATTAGTGGCTCCATTTCAGAGCAGGGGGATCAGAATCTCCAGAGATAAGCAGCCAGCTATCTGTCGTGACAATGGTTAGGCAGAAACCGAAAGGGCAGTGTGGGGTTGCAGCTTTTCACTTGCTCAGTCTTAACTGGAGCAAAGTAGAAATTCACCCTGCTAGCTTTGGTAGAGCGCACAAGGCTTCCAGTTTTCAAAATGCAACTGAAACCACTGTGTGTGTTTCTCCGAGATACAGTTTTAAAGTTGAGTCTGGTTATTCATTCTATAAATACTTACTGATTTCTGCTTTTCTGAAGGAGGTGGGGAACATCAGGGATTTCTCATTTTGGGGAAAGTTAGGCTTAATTAATAACAAAGTGATCTTTATTTTCTCGTAAGACTGTTTAATTTACTTGCTTGTCACGACATGAAAGGGGGTGTTTTCTCTTTAGATTTGGGGATGCTACTACATAAATTTCTCAGGAAAACTGAAGTGGACAATGTATGCTATTTCTTTATGCTCCGGCCCAAAATAAATCACGAACACGGTTCAGTAGTGTACCTGCAAATTAGAAGGTTTAAGAAAACAATTTTAGGTCATCTCCACAAATAGTCCTTGGTTGGAGTAGGAGTCTCTGGGAAGTTCCCTGTGTTCAAATTATCTTGTTCTGTTGCTCTGCTTGTGGAGTTCCCGTTCCCTCCAGCTCTTACTATTTCCCACTTCTTACATAAAATTCCATTCACTCTGCCCATCAGTTGGCCATCAGGCTCAGCATCTGCTTTGACAGTCTATACTGCAGAAGCTTTCAGAGGCCCTCTGTGGCAGGTTTCAAGGTTGTTTCCTGTTTTCTTCTGGCTTTCAGAGGCCCTCTGTAGCGGGTTCCGAGGTTGTTTCCTATTTTCGTTTTCTTCTGATGTACATCCTCTTTGCCTTTCAGGATGGGGATTGAACATTTTAGTTAGGGTCCTCTCTTTTGCTTAGTTTGTTTAGATGTACAGCTTTTAGTGGGTTTATTCTATATTGTATGTTTATATGAGTGAGTATATACCGTGACCTGGAACCCCTGCACAGGTGTAGCCCATGGCAGTTCAGTGTCCAAGTGGGTTACATAGTAATGGGAAGAGGGACTGCCTCTGACATAATCTGATTGGCCTGCTCTTTGATCACTTCCCCCTGGGGGGGGAGCAGCCTTACCAGGCCACAGTAGAGGACAATGCAGCCACTTTTGATGAGAACTGATAGACTAAGATCAGAAAGAAGGAGAGGAGGACCTCCCCTATCAGTGGACTTGGGGAGTGGCATGCATGCAGAAAGGGGAGGGAGGGTGGGATTGGCAGGGGAGGAGGGAGGGGCTTATGGGGGGATACAAAATGAATAAAGTGTAATTAATAAAAAATAAATAAAAGATTTAAAAAAAAAAAAGAAAACAATTTTAGGGCCTAACACTGGCAGGATTTAGTGTCAGTCAGGGGTGGGAACAAAAAAAAAAAAAAAACTGGCTAGCTTAAGAAGCCCTTGGAAAGTAAACATTATTAGATGACAGCTTTTAAAATACAGAATTCCCTGTAAAAATGCACTAGTCCAGAATTAATCACACAAAACAGGGTTCCTTTCACATTGGCTTATTTATTTTCACAATGCCACAAAGAAGTCCCAAATCTTTACAACTCTTTACCTGCTTCTCATTTTTTAAAAAAAGAAAAGCCCTAGAATATCAAATCATGTTTAAAAAAATTTAACTGAATTATTTTAAGTTATGACAATGATAGGATGTGCCAGTCAATCAAACTTCCATACTAACAAACCTTTAAAGAATGAACCACAGCCAGATGTCATCACATTTCACAGCTGTTCACGCTGAACGACTATTGATGACGCTAGTGCCATAACCATTGCCACTCACGTTCTGAAAGCATGTGTTCCTGTACACCTTACAGAGGTTTAAAGCCATGTTTTACCAACTTTTTTATTAATGTGAAAACCTTCCACATTGGCAACTGTGTTGAAAACTCCAATAAAATTAGCCAGCCTGTTGACAAGTCCACGATCTTCTGATTAATAGAGCACATTTTGTTACTATACAATTTATAAGCAACTAATAAATTTTGAATTGTTAGTAATATAATAGCTATAAATAGTTTACTTTCTCCTTTTCCTTATATATTTTTATATTCATGCATCTCATTTATTTGTCTAGTAGACTATTAAATTCTGGATTTAAATATGACTAAGCATAAAATAAAACAGAGATGAGTGTGGATAAAAGAGCTGAATTTTACTCAATGTCTAAACCAGTAAAAGCTATTAACTAAGAGAAATTATTTAACCTAAGGCAAACATGGAGATAGTGAGATCTGACATTAGATTCTTCATAGTTTGACCTGTCAAGTACACACGAACATCCACGGCCCAAATTCTGAATGTCTATGTGCCATAAAGCTAACTGTGTCACAAATGGAATGTCCATTACTTGAAGAAAGGCCCCTCTGATGATAAACTTTGTGGGATGTGGAGCCTGAAGCAGTAGGCAACCATATTAGTAAGGTTTTAAGACCTAGTCAACATATACATATATACTGAGCTTTAGGCTAAAATTATGATGTCTATCACCAGAAGAACCTGGGCTACCAGTGCTACAACCCTAATCAAGACGGTAACATTGCATCATTTTTCTTCAGTTACTTACTAGACTATCTTCCTGTTATTTGAAGATCACAGTAGATTCCACTTGAGGCTGTCACACTAAGACACACTGCCTGAATGCACTCAATGTGCATCTAGTAGTCAAGCTGCTCTTAACATCTAAGAGTCAGGTGGCATCAACATCGAGTCACCCATGGCATTCCTTGCCTTAAGCTCTTAACTTCCACTCATAAATCCAGGGTAACATTTGGCTTTTCCACTTAATCCCTGTCTGTTACCACAGCTACTATGTAACTGCTATTCAACATTATGGTTCTACTTCTGCTAAATCATTCTTATTGTCTTTACCAACTCTAAGTTTCTTTTTAGAACTATGGAACAGTATGAAAACATTAAAATATTTTAAATTTTATCTAATACAATAAATTTCTGATATATGTTAAGATAATTCGATTACTAGACAAGTGATCTCCTTTACATAACACACACTTTGTAAAGGTTTCACTGACTTTTCCTTTAGTGAGGTGGGCTTCAACTGTTCTAAAAACAGTAAATTAGCTCATTACTTGTGTGTGATTTTCAAATACGTCCTTTACAAAATTTCTTGTAAGTCAAAAACAAAAAATTAGATGGTAATTAATGTTAACAAATATACTGAGCAGTAAACTTTTTCATTAACTTACATCTGCTCAGTTTTTTTATTAGTTTAGTATAAAGGCCCATTAATCAAATTCATTAGATTGGTCAAGGCAAGACATCTGAACTACACAGTAAGATTTTAAAAGCAGTTTTTTGTTGTTCCTAATAATCCCTCTCTTCTCTCTGTTTCTCTCTTTCACACACACACACACACACACACACACATATACACACTATACACTATAGGCCACACACACAGACACACACAGATCACACACGTGGTTGAGTACTCTGGATACTGGATTTCCTCCCATAATCCTGTATAATTTACTGTTCACAACCTGCAGTGTTTTGGAAACTATATATTAAACATGGCCAAATTAGAGCTATCTGATAAAGTCTTAAAAAATTATTTTGGAATTTCGGGTGTTTCCCCAAGAAAACTGATGCTTTTAAAAATGAAAATTCATATAAAACACAACAGGCTTAACACACATCTTGAAAAAAACTTATGCTGTAACTCAATTCTGTACTTTCTCAAACATGACCAAAAAAAGAGTTACAAGTAGTAATGCTATGTCCAGAAGAAGAAACTATTAACAGTGGCTCGGGGAAGCTACACAGTATCACTGAACTCTTTCATGTGCAGAATTCAGCATGTGCCAGCATGGAAAACTGTCTTGCACTGAGGTTTTCCAAGAGGTACAACGAGCCTGCCAAGAACATCCGGTCTGTACTAACAGCTTGCTGTCTTCAGTACAGGCCTTCATATTGTCAGTCACGCTGCTCTTGCAAAAATCCCTTAGTGCCTGAAACAAATGGAAAGGAAAAATATTGTATTTCAGTAGTCTCTCTTGTACAAACTCTTGGGAAGCTAACCCACAGATAAGAAAGGAACAGAGAATGCTACTACTAAGCAAAAGCTAACAGAGCCTTTTCATTTATACATTTTTGCTCATAAATTTTCTATCTTAAGTATGTTAAAAATGGTGCACATGTTTAGGAACTAATTATTTGAAAGTAAGGAGAGGCTGTGTATCCATAAACCGTAATAAAACACATTAGTCTGGCTTCTAGGAGTTCAAAGTTTGAAAGACAGAGCCAGCCATCTGTTTCATTTTAAGTTGGATATTGAAATGGTAATATATGTAGCATATACTAGCATTTGTGGTAAAAGTTAACAGAAACCTATAAATAGCTACTGTACTTTTAAACTACTTACAAAAGTTTTCAGTGCTGATAGGTAGGGCTATGATCGATGATGTGGGATTGAATCCATATGCACATTGAGTTTCATTTCATTGTCAAGAATTTGAACAAGTTGTTGCATGGATGGAAGATGACCAGATTCCAGCTTAGACCACACCGGCACATCTACAAAAATAGACAGAACCCCCACCCCAAAAAACACATTAAAGATGATTCCACAATAGACACTGACCTCACAAATATTTACCGAGTGTCATAAATAGGTAGGGACACAACAGTACAAATTCTTCCTCTTAGGGGTTTTTGCTGTGGCAAAGAAACAAGGACATTACAAAAGTCACCACTTGGGATTACAGCCAGAGTGCTACAGTGCTACAAGGAGCACAAACATTAGCTTCTCCTGCTGACTGGTCAGGAAAGGACATCAGTTGAACTAGATCTAGAAAGAAAAAGAGAAGTCACTAAACTAGAGTTAAGGCTTGCAGAGTGGAAAAGAGTGCAGGCCTGCACAGATGTACAAGGGAGTTTTTACAAGAGAGACAAAAGAGGCACAGAAGTTTAGATTGGGGTAAAAAAAACTGCAATAAACCAGGAAGTAAACAAGAGTGTCTGTCACAACACATACAGCACCTGAAGGCAGCAAAGCAATTTTTAATTGGGCATAATTATAGTCAAATAAAACTATCAGACAGGCAACAGGATATGATCAGCTGACCCCAAATTAGATTTTGCAGGATCGTTGCTCACACTGAACACACTGGCATTTATCTTGAAAAAACAAAAAACAAAACAAAAAACACTTGCTTTAGGAGCGGTAGACAGTCAAGTGAAACAAGGAACTCTTCATTAAGCAAGTCGCTGCAGCCAGCATGGAGGCTCTCATGTAAGCCCAGCACATAAAGGGACTGGGAGGAGGACTGGGAGTTTTAGGTCAGTCAGGGCTTTGACACTAAGATCCTGCCTCGAGACACCAGGAAAACAACAAAAATGCTTTATCTTTGGGATAAAGCAGATATTGGAAATTTTTTTCTAAGAAGCCAGACAGCAAAGAGTTTAGGCTATATGGACCAAAAGGCAAAAACAAGGATGTTATTAAGGTATTATTTATATAACTAAAGAACACATTTCTTTGAAATTCTCCTTGATAAAAATTCCAAAGTTTTGTTATACATACAGAAGTCTGAATTTCATGAATTATTTTCCATTTAAAAATGTAAAAATTGCCAGGCATAATGGTGCACACCTTTAATCCCAGCTCACAGAAGGCAGAGACAGGTGGATCTCTGTGAGTTTGAGGCCAGCCTGATCTACAAAGCAATTTCCAAGACAGCCAGGGCTGTTATACAAAGAAACTCTGTCCTAAAAAAACAACAATAACAAAGTAAAAATCATCATTAAAGTCCCATTTGCCAACCTACTGTGCAGAAAAAGAGTGAGGATCATGTAACACAGACTAGGATGCCAACAGTGAAGATCAGCAGAAGCAGATTTGTAATGCAATGTGGGAAGCAGAATTTAGAGGATCTGGTAATCCCTTAACTATACAGTGGAGAACTATACTAGGTTTCTGGGAAATTAGGTAGACAAATTATGGAACAATTAAATGAACAAAGAATCCCAGAGGAGAACCAAAGCAGCACATAAGGAGATAGCTAAGAGCTTATTTTGAAGCAAGTTGTTTAAGATTCCCAGGTAAAGCAGTTGGAATGGGTCTAGAGTACCCTAAAGCTATACACCGAAGAATCATCATAGAGGTTTTATTTTAAAGCCTTGGAGTAGAAAGTATTAGTCACATAGTTAACACGTGGGCAACTCCTCCAGGAACACTAAAATCTCAAGGAGCAGTGAAGACTCTATTTCAATTTCTATCAAATAAGCTCTTTTATATGAACATCAACAAATTCTCTCACGAACATAAAAAGCTTAATGTTTGTTATTAAGCATGAAAAGCCCATCACAAATGCACACTACTCAGAACCTACCATTTAAAGTTATCTCAAATGCACCTGTTGACATACACTGGTTCTCGATCATGTTGCTCAAGAAGAAAACCATCATACATGCATAAACCTAGAAGTCAAATAGCACAAAGCGTAAGCATACGACATATTCATTTGCTTTGACATACAGTTTCAACCTTAATTTGATAGTTTTTTCTTTTAATATACTTTAAAAATGTCTATATAAAATCCTATTTCACAGGTTCAGATACCATCTACACATCAAGAAAAATTCACAATTCTTTACATGTGAAAGAATATACATATAGCATTCATATTATATACAGAATTAGTAAGCATCTCAATAACTGAAGTAAAAATGCCAACTTAATGGTTCACTTTACCAATTTGGTAATGTAAAATGTCTGCACTCACAAGAGAATAGTGATGCAATCACCAGCAACTTTGTCTATTACATACAACTTACTTAAGTTTTTTTTAATCATTTTAAAACCATCTGTAGGTTTAGAGTGCCCCAGCACATATATTCACCCTTCAAAGGCAACTCTACCCTTTTCAAAAAGAGAATAGAAGAACTCTGTTGTAATTTAGTAAAAGTTGAATATGTTGAAGATGTAAATTCTTAACACATTGTTTCAGAAAGTAAACACCCATAAGAGAAAGGGCTTGTCTGCCTAAGCTATGTGAGCCAGGTGGCATTTGATATAACAGCTTTCTATAGGAACACAGAATGCACTGTCACAAAGTTCTATCTTTAACTCTCTTGGTTCTTCCATGCCAACAAAAATGGCAACTATCCCTATAGAAGCCAATGCAATAGACCTAGTGTGCTATATTCATACAAGTAAGCACAGCACAGAATACAGTAAGCACGGAACTGCAAACTCGCACCTGGTTAGCAATGAGGTAGACACACATTCTCCTAAAAACACCTAAGGATGCTCATGTTAACAACGTTGTTCTAGAAGAACCATATAGGGATCTGTTAAAGATACTCAGACTAGAACTAAAGGACAAAGCTAGAGGGCTCCCCAAGGAACTTTGTTTCATAAAGGAAGCATCTAAAACACTTGCTTTCGGGAGAAAAATAAAATTAGAACCATTTCCAATGACGGTAAGTAACTCGGGCAGGGAGGGCGACAGATTTTAAGTAAAAAGATAAAAATAAGACGAATTAGCAGAAGGTTACAGGCTACAGCCATGCACGCAATAAGCCTGCCACCAGATGAGGAACTAAGAAACACTAACACTGAGAAAGGTGTGACCTCCTCTTACTTCCTACTCTATCCTAAGCATGTTCTCCTTAATACTTTGGATATCCCCCCCTCCCTGGACATTTTGGGCTTCCTTACTCCTTCTCTACCATATTGCTGCTCACCATCATAGATCTGACTTGTACACCAGCTTAAAATAACATGGATAGATAGGAAGGAAGATGGGAAAGTAGAAAAGACAGACAGATAGATATACATATAATGATTTAAAATGTGGACTACAAAATTCTGTAGATGAAAAAATAGCACTATTTCCAACTGTATTCATACTAATTCTGTGGCAGCCAAAATGGAGTTGGTAGCCGAACTGGAGTGCATAGTGCTGTTTGGTGCTGAGTCTGAGCAGTGGAATTTTGCCTCCTGGCCCTGGCAGACTTGGGTCTAATCTAAAGCTCAGTGTCTTCTAGAGACTGACCTTGGCAATCCTTGCAGCAAGAGTTTTGTCCCTGAGAACTAGATAATAAAACTCCTTGCAACCATGGGAACCAGATAGCAAACTCTGTGTAACCTTGAGTGAATCCTCGGACACTCTGCCAAGAAAACTGCTACCATGAGAAACTGCTTGTAAATTTCTGCTATATAAGTGCTGATTTTACGATTATTAAACGAAACCTTGATCAGAGTCTTGACTTGGTGTCCTCCTTGTGTCTCCCTGCTCTTTTTCCCCAGCCCTCACTCAGGTGGTATTCAAGTGTCGCCTGCAGCGACCTAATTCTTTGTAATGATTCCTTGACTGATTGCAATTTGTCAAACAGACCTCCACGAACAGAAAAGTCAAAGGATAAGTACTAAGAAAATAGTTTTGATAAAACAAATTAACGGCAGCTCATACTCACTAATACTATATTATTTGGTATAAAAACCTGACATTATATATAAAAGCTCTGCTAGATATGATTTGATCTAAGTTATAATCAAAATCAGCTAATAAATTATTGTGTCCCTAGGATTTACTAGAGAGACAGCCCCAATCCCCTAAACAAAAAGGGTATGAAAGGTATTCAGTATTCTCTATGCAAACTGAAGCAAAGAACAGTTAAAGGCTTTCCCAAAGACAAAAAATGGTACAAGCTGAAACAGATCACATGGGCAGGTCAATCACTAACAGTGACAAAACAAGCTCAACAACCCCACACACAGATACACACACACATACTCTCCCAAGCACACACAACACATACTCTGTCTCTCTGTATGTGTGTGGCTCTCTCTCTCTCTCACAAAGTCACAGTTATTACAACCTAAAAGCCCATAGTCACCAAAGCCACATACCTTATTTTCTTGGCCCCACTGCCAGATGCTAGGAGCTTGCATGCCGAAAAATGCAAAAGGATCCTTGCCAACAATTATTAAGCCTATTAATACTAGTTTGAAGATCGACAGGAAAGATGCTATGTGTCTATTGAAAGAAAATAAACAAGTTAATCAAAAATACAATTTCTTATCTATTTTGAATTTTAGTTGTTAAAGTTTATGAGAACTTTTAAAAAAGATGTTGTTTGCTTGTTTATTTAATATGTGAGTGCTCTATCTGTATATACACCCGCATGCCAGAAGAGGGCATCAGATTCTAGAATAGATGGTTATGAGCCACCACGTGCTTGTTGAGAATTGCACTCCGGACCTCTGGAAGAGCACACAGTACTCTCACCCACTGAGCCACCTCTCCAGCCCAGGAAGACATTTTTAAAATCAAATTTAGTGTCATTGATTTTCCAGGAACTTTGGAAGACACAAGGTGTGGTTCAATGATAAAAAAGCATACTCAGGTCATACCCTTCTTTCAATTAATCTTTCCCTAATTTCCCAACAAAAAATACAATCTTGCAATCTTGCAGGGGAGATGGCTGAGAGGTTAAGTACTCTTAACCTCTGAACTGGCTAAGAATTGACTGTTCTTGTTGAAGTCTTTAGTTCAATTCCCAGCAACCACATGGTGGCTCCCAATCATCTGTAATGAGATCTGGTGCCCTCTTCTGGTGTACAGGCATACAAACAGGCAGAATATTATATATATATATAATCTTTTTTTAAAATTACAATCTTACATTCAATCTTAGCCTAATTTCCCAACATAAATTACATAAAGAAACAGATATCATCGTTATTTATAAAATAGTACTCTCTGTATATCAGTATAAGCAAATAAGAAATTACAAGAACCCAGCAAAGGTGATTGAACTTATTTACAAAGCTTATTAGTTCAAAGATTGTATTCAAATAACTGAAATTCACTCACCTATAAATTGGTTGAGGGAGATAATTCTCTCCTTCAATGCGGATGTCTGGATACCGCTGGCTAATAACCCGCATGTACTCCTCAAACACCCGCCTGTACCCTCAGGATACGCTGCCAAAAAAAAAAAAAAAAAAAAAAAAAAAAAAAAAAAAAAAAAAAAAAAATCTTATAATCCATCACAACTAATACTAAACCCAGACAACAGATACAGGGAAGAGGTTTCTTTTTCTTCCATTTTATAAATTTCATATATTTACGTCCCCAGCAAATAACCAGCCGGTTATAACACAACACTTCATAGCTTTTAGACAACAGCAAACATTAGTATCAAATATCAAACGCTCATATCAATTGATCCTTTGTAGAGAGTACAGAAAAGATTGACTGAAATGCAAGTGCAGAAACCCTTTCAAACTGCTTACACAGAGCCCTGGAAGTATATGTGAAGATTTCTGAAAGAGACTTGGACCCAGATAAGCAGCGGGGCCTGTGAGAGCAAACAGGAAATCCTCTTCCCTGTCTTATTGATAGATTTTGGCTGTACCTCTTTCAAATATTCTGGTATTGAATGTTATTTAATAGAGAGTTAACATTTTTTAAAACCAACATTCATTTCAAAAGAAATGCCAAACTATCCTCCGGTAGGCATGCATTCTAGAACATATGCAATGATGGCCAGGAAGACCTAACTCTCTGCCATGTGGACTATGAAAATGGGAACAGAGTGTGTAGAAAAGGGTGAGGAGAAGTTAGACTATTTTTTCCTAACTGTAAAGATCTGAGATTTTGTCATCCACCACCTGTCTCTTTCCTCCCTCCCTTCTTCTTTTTCTTCCCTTTCTTTCTTGTTTTTCCTGCCCAGACCACTCCACTGAGCCACACCCCTTATCCTGCCCAAGTTTTAACCTTCCATTTGGAGGACAGAAAAAGAAAGGACTTGTGAACAGGTCTGAGTTTAGTATAAGTAGATGTTTGGTTAAAATTAGCAGATATGGTAGAGAAAAGAGAAGTGAAATGGTTGGTACCTGGTTAGGCAACTAAACTGGTGGAGTTGAAAAAGACCAGGGTCTTTTTGAGATAGCATGGTTAAGAGACTTTTCTAGAATTCCTGTTTCCAGTTCCATCACGTTCATGCATTCTCCCCAAATATACTATCACTCAAGTCTAGACCCATCTTTTACCTCTCTTTGGATCTCCCAGAGCCTAGTGCACACTGACATAACATTTCAAGAGCGTTGACATAGTTCGATTTACTTCAAGGACCATGAATTTAATGATCAGTTTTAATGTTTTGCAAATAAAACTATTTAGTCTACATAAATAACTGTGAAATGTTAGAGAACTTTTCAAGTTCCAATAAAACTCTTTTCTAATCCTTAACTCTACACTCTTTCCCCAAAACCACTCTACTATAGCCAACGCATGCTCTTAACCACTGAGCCATCTCTCCAGCCCCAGATATTAAAAAAGAGAAACACTGTTGAGATTTAAGCAGCACAGGCCTATTAAGGCATAAGGGGAACAGGAAGAATAGTAGTACATTCCCATGAAATCTGGAAGCTTGGTTCAGTGGCATGGAGGCCAAGAACACAGCATAACCCCCATACAGCCACTTCTAAGCTAAGCAGAGGCCAGCCAGGTTAGCCTTCTAGACTAAAACCATCATCTACATGCAAAGAGTTGGGGAAAAGGTTGGGGAGGACAGAAGCCACAGGACCAACTATGGCAGACCAGAAGAAGCTCCACGCATTTCAATTTTGAACAGACAAGTCTATTATCAGCAACACCCTAACAGCTTTCTAACAGGTAAGATTTCATAGCCAAAAGAGTTTCTTTTTAAAAAGATGGAAGGATGGATGGATAGATAGATAGATAGATAGATAGATAGATAGATAGATAGATAGATAGATAGATAGATAAATGGGATGAAAAGAAAATGTGTCTGATGTGGTAACTTTGATTCCAACACTTCAGAGCAGAAGCAGAAGCAGAGGCAAGTGGGTCTCTGTGAGGTCAAGGTCAGTCTGAGACATCTTAAAAAACAAAAACAAAACAATAAAAAAAAAAAAACAGACCTCAAGGACTACAGTGGGGGGTCATAAAATGAAAGTGGAGTAAGCACAAGACTGAAAGTAAGTCTACACTAAAAACTGATTGGCAGGGCTGGGAAGAAAGCTCAGAGAGTGCAGACAGTGCTAAACATTCCACAACTCAGCATCTTGACAGCTCTCACCTCGTGCCTGGTCTTTCCTCCACTCTACCTGTGAAGGACATTGGGAAGCTTGGTGGCAGGTGCTTGGCTAGATCTAATACAAAAATGCCTCAGTATTTGCATAGGCACTACACATACCTTCCCATGTGCATGAAAGTATCTGTAGATTACTTTTAACACTCAACACAATGAATAGTTAGCTGTGTATTCTACTATTTGGAGAATGCCAGTACAGTGCAACACACACAGCTCACCACCTCCACCACTGCCAACATGCACGCGCGCGCGCGGGCGGGCACGCGCACACACACACACACACACACACACACACACACACACACACACACCTGCCACATCACAGATATTTTGAATCTGAGATTGGCTAAATCCATAGATGTGGGTCTCACAAAAACAGAGGGCCAACTATAATTCACCATCTTAAGCTGCTAAATTATCAACCTCTTAAAGATCCCTCAACCTCTCTGTACTTCCATTACTACCTTTTGTTCCAAGTTCTATCACCTCTCAGTTGAACTCTAAAATGCCCCTTCCTTCCTATACTCCCTTCCATTCTGTCCTCTGGAATACCTTTTCTACAGTAACTCTATTGGCTTTTCTGATGCTGAAACCTTACTGGTCTATGCTGCTCATCATTTAGTATAACAGCCTCAGCCTTCTCAACTGAAGTCTAGTTCCTTCAATAAGGCCACTGTCTACGAAGCCCTACAGAACACAAAACTCATTATTAGATCTCTGTTCAAGGGCAGAGATGACTCAGTTTTGAAAGGGTTTGTCAAGCAAGCAAAAGGACCTGAGTTCAATCCCTAATACCAACAACAGTGAAAAAATCAGGAGTGATGGTCTGTGCCAGATCCCAAATATGATACCTGTCTCAAAATGCGATGGGGCTCCTGAGGTCCTGAGGAGAAATGACAAGTCCCTCCTCTTCTCCCCAAACCCTCAAGTCCAAGTTCACTTCTTCAAGGTAACTGTCCTGATCCCAGACTGGGACTCTCCTATCATCAACAGTTTCCCTTACAGCACTTAGCAAAATTGCAATTTTATGTGCTAATTTATTCTTGCCAAATTAAAACCACAAGAACACAGAATTTAATTGTGCACACTACATAACATACCTACAAAGAGTAGGTACATAAATACTTAAGGTGTGCAAATATCAAGTGTTGATTAGCCAATATGATCCAATATGCCTCTAATTCTGCATTTTACTAATCAGTAAACATATAAATCAGTTTTGGTCTTTTTAAAAGATTCTAAAATTCTGTCTATTTGTGGAGAAGAGAGGGTAGATGCAGTTGCCTATAGAAGTAAGAGGCATCAGACAACCCTGGAGGTGGAGTTACTGGAGGTATAAACTGCCTGACATGGGTGCTGCGAACTTGAGCAGCAAGCTCAGTATTTGCTCAGTTTCCTTCTACTATACTATGAAAGCAAAGGCTGAGACAGCATACATTTAAATAAAAATCTATTTTCATAATATATGCTTCATTTATCACAAAAAAATTGCAGGCAGGGGCTAGCTATCCTAGAATTACTGCAGTGGATGCTTAAATTGCTAATTTCAAAATTCAGCAAAGCTAAGGTTCTGAAACCTTAACTTCATAATTCAATTGTCTAATGGTCAAGAGTTAAAAAGAGTTAACAGCTAATAACCTCTTTAAACTCTAGCAACTGTAGATCTAAGTAGACGTTACACCACATGTAAGAGAAAATAAAACCCATCATGCCTATGGGCAGCTCCCAGAATACACTGACTATTTAAGTCAGAGGAAGGAAAGCAAGACAGAACTTTAGGACATTCAAATCACCAAAATATTCAGTATGAAATAATGACACCAAAAGTATCTAATTCTACTGCTCAGTCAACTAACATCATAAACCAAGGACTCAGATACAGAGAACAAATGGTAACTTTTTTTGGAAGTTTCCTGGGTGGCCCTGTTTCATGTACTGTGAAATCTCTAGCTACTGACATAGCAGATACTGAATGAACAGTTGTTGGAAAGGCACAAGAACACAGAACTTGGTCATAAGCTTCATCTCTTTTCAAATTTCATTCCATTATGCATTGTGTTGCAACTGCAAAAGTGGTAACACATAGGTAGGTGTACTAAACTGTAATTATTTAAGAAAAAGTACTTACAATAAATATAAAACGCAAAATCAACTAAAATGAACTTCCTTAGCACCGTTAAGCTGATAAAGAAAAAAACAAACTGAGTTTTAAGGCACTGAAATTTCAAATGAAACTTACGGGTTTTTTTCATGTGTACACATTTTCAATTGTATTCACTTCTTCTCCCTTCCCAAACCTGCAAGTGTTTAAGACTGACAAAACCAGAAGCCTAATGTTCACTTTACTGTGAATTAAAGATTAACCTCTAGGGGAACAGCAACAAGCTAAATTTAACAACTTGGCAGGGTATTATAATAAAGCTATTTCTGATGTATATATTCTAAAACAGCAAAGGGCTTAGAATAACTGCAAAACAAACTCACTTGATATTTTTTAAACAGTCTGTACCTAACGTACAAAAAAATAGTGAGCATCAAAAGTTCAATTAAAGCAATTATGAAGTTTTTTAAAAGCTTAATAATATTAATGACTGTTTCCCATTCCTTCCATTTGTTGTTGTAGTCTGGGGTGGATTTTGCTATGTTGTCTTTTGAGACAAAGACTGGGGTAGCTCAGGCTGGCTTTGACTTAGGTAGCCAGGGATGATCTTGAATATTTGGGCCTCCTGACCCTACTAAGATTACAGGTGTCATCGGGCTATGTTTATTCTTTTGAAACCTTAAGGAAAATGAACGTAGTAAAACTGTAACAAGAGTCCAAATACCACATCAAAGAGATCTAGAAACTGGACCTTCCACATGGTGGAAGGAGAACTCCACCTGTGATTTCTCCATGGCCACTGTCACAGCTGCACATACAAAAAACGTGTGTGTGTGTGTATGCATATACATGTATATACATGTGCGTGTATGTACATATGTATGTATACATAATGTATACATTAAAGAATTCCAACACAAGTAAAGGCACTCAGAAAAAGCAGCTAGGACAGTAGATACAGAAGTATTACATGAGTTGAAAACCAGCCTTTTAAAACCTAGTTAAATCCCAACGATCACACTTAATCATTAACTACTTTTGTCAGCTGGTAACAGAGCTACTGCTTTCTTTAAAAAAATGTATGAAGGGCTGTGGGTGTAGGTCAGTGGAACAGCAGCGATCTGTGCGGTCATAAACGCCAGGCAGATAGTAAAGGTCGCAGTGAGTTTTATTTGTAACCAGAAAGAAGTCACCAAAATTAAAGCCTCGCCGGCTTACTTTCTGATTCTTTGGTTTAAATGTCACAAACTGGTTTTGTTGTTGTTGTTTTGTTTTGTTTTTAGATTTTTGCTCCGTCTTCTGTAATTAAGCAAAATGATTCAGTAAAAATCCAAATTTAAGATTAACTGGTACATGTAGTGAAAAGTCGGCTTTAAATGAATTCTGGCCAATAACAACACTGCAAAGCATCCAGATTCTGAAAAGAATTACTAATCTGACATCTCATCCTAAGAGAACATCATCTTCTGAGGTTTCATTTCTTCAGGCCTTTTGATGTTCTGTTTGTTTTTTGTTTTAAACCGGAGCCTTTCAAATCTTCCCCAACCCCTATCGCCTCAGTAAAGCGGATCTCTGTCCTGCTTCTAAGGCTCATCTATTCAACAACAAAGTCCATTACCAAGCGGCGTCGAAAACTGACAGGCTCTCTTTCTTTTTCCTATGAATGCACCAGACCTTTGAAAGTGGAGAGACGCCCCGGAGACAACCGAGCCGAGCCGCGGTTTCCAGGAGCGGCGGGCGCCACCTCGCGTCCTCGCAGCGCGGCCGCACGGCCCGGCCCGGCCCGGGCGTTCAGTGACGCGGAGCCGCTGCGCTCGACCACCCTCGCAGGCGACCGCCTCGGAAAGGCCCGCAGCCCTACCCCGGCACTCCAGGGAGAGCCGAGGGCCAGGGCCAGCGCCCCGAGGGCAGCGGCGGCCTTCCGAGGTGTCCCACCCGAGACCGCCCATGCGGAAGAGCGCCGGCGCCGTGCTCTCCGGGCAGCTAGGCCGCGAAGCCGGGGCCTCGGGTAGCGCGCAGCCGGGGCAGGGCGGCCGGGGGTCGGCGCACCTACTCACCAAATCTGGAACTTGAGCAGCGGCCCCGTGGCGTACTGCATCTTTAATCTCTTGCTGGGCACGCCGCCTAGGTTGGCAGAGGCCTCGCTGCGGACCACCGCCGACGCCGCCACCAGGAGAAGCAGCAGAAGCCTCATCTTATTTGAGACAGCCGCTCTGGCCGCCTTCAGACACTACAGCCAGCCCAAAACCTAGCCACGAACTGCTCCCCACTGCGCAGGCGCGCTCCGCCAAGGTCGGCGAGAGGAACCGGAATGCGCCTGCGCAGGCGGCGCCTGCGCCCATTCTGGGAAGGAGCGCTGATCTGTTCCACTGGCTGCATCCACCACCATCTTGGGTGTGTGCAAACCCTCAGAGGGTACAAGGGAGAGAGGGAGAAATTTTACTGGTGAGATGTAAAAGAGGCCCGTAATTGTTGCTCTTGGCCGTTATGAATTCTACATCCCTGTTTTGCTTTTAAAGGCGTTCTTTTATAGCCCAGGCTGGCTTCTAGGTACACAGCTATAGCCTTGAATAACTGATTCTCTTACCTCCTAAGTGGCTTATCATCATCATCATCGGTTGAACAAAAATTAATTGTACATGCTAGACAGGGACTGTACTACTGAACTACATTCCCTAGCTCTTCTACATCCACGAAAATGTCCGAATGTATTTAATGGTCTTTCTTTTACTTACTCTTAGAATATTTATCTCTCCTAAAAAGATACTTAAAACAAATTTTATGTTTCCTGTAAGATGTTTACACCTGCACCAAGAAGCAGCTTGAGCATCATAGATAATTGACTTCATTTTGGGGTGATGGTGGTGGTTTCTCCTACAAGATTCCTGTCGCTTGTGACGGTGGCCCTTTATCATAAATTAACACAAAGATGTTAATTGCTTAGTCCAAAGTCAAAGTGACCTTCCTGGGTCTTTGTAGGAAGACATCTTAGATAAAACCATACACTAAACACTTCCTTTCTACGAATCTGTGAGAGGAAGTAACATTCCTAAAATGTTATCTTGTAGATGTGCATATTCCTATAGGAAAGAATTTGTTGGCTAGAAGACGCTGAGTACAGGTGGACATTACCTTGATGGTAATGACACGCCCTTCATCCTGCCACTTAGGAGGGCAGAGGCAGGCAGATCCCTGAGTTCTAGGTAGTTCCAAAACAGCCAGAGCTACAGTGATAACCTTGTCTCAAAAAACAAACAAACAAAACACTGTGGACATTATCTGAAATTCATTGCTGGGCAGCTTTTACAGAAATAATTGTTATACAATACTTACCTTACACTGGAATATAATGTTGTAATCAGCTTAATTAAACGTTTTACATAACTTAGCCCCTCCCATTGAGACCTACTTCAGTTCTTAGCATTACTGTAGCTGTTCTGTTAACACCTGCTGTTGCTTTTAGCATATCAGAAACCATTTTACCTCCCTGTCCCCATCTTGAGATTGAAGGGAAATTAAGTTCAAGTTCCCAGGCCCTGTGTGCCTGAGAATGGGATACAATTCAATCGTTCAGTACTTTCTGCCCAGAATAAAACAATAGATGATAAATGCATGTTCTGTTTGAATTAAAGATAAACATATGTTCTGTTAGAGTTATAACCGAAACATCCTGCTCTGTTCCTAACTCCCGTAAATCTCAGCCAATCAAGTTTAAAGTGCTTTGTCTAGCTACTCAGATAAGAAGAAAAAAAAATTATTCTCAATTGAATTGAATGAACAGACTGTACCTGTAAAAAATTATTTTTCCTGCTTGGTTGTGGATTGCCCTTTAAAAACTCACTTTGAAAATGGCTCAGCATCACAGTGTGGCTCCCGAGATCAGATTGTGTCCCTAGCTGGTTAGTTTTGTGTTTAGTGTTCGATAAACTTCTTTCGATCTGAGTCTGGGGTCAGTAGTCAGTGTGTGGCTATTCCTGAACCCTAACAATAAAATGTAATTCCATAAATCCAAATTTCAGGGAAATTTTAATAGCGGGGGAAATGTGTACCACATCATTTCCATGGGAAATGGAGGATACAGGTTTGCTAAATCCCTTATGTGTTTAAAGCTCCAGCAACAAACAGGCCAGCATTTTGAGTGTGGCTATTTGAGAGCTGGCAATGTTTCTATCTTTCTCCTTATTCTTTTTCTATATCTCATTCTCTTCCCCAAACAATGGATATATTGCTTTTGAATTATCACAGATACATTCTCAACTATTTAAAATGAGGGATAGAGTAGCTGACACAAAAGCATCCTCAGGACTCTCCTAAAAAAAAAAAAAAAAAAAAAAAGGCTTTTCTCCTAGTTTTTCTTGGAGTCAAATGATTTGGCAGATTGACTAATTAGTATGAGGTACAGGTTGTCCTGGATCTCTCTATGTAGCACATGCTGTCCCCAAACTTGAGACTCTGTTACTTCTGCTTCCCAAGTGAGGGGATTATAGATATGTACCACAGTGTCTGGCCTTTTCCCCCCCTCTCTGGTTGAGATGGAGTCTGGCACAACCCAGGCTGTTTTCAAGCTAGCTATGTAACCTAGTCCTGAACTGCTATCTGCTTGCCTTCACTTTCCAGTTCCCGGATTAGGTATGCACTGCAAAGTTGATGGGAAAAGATAGATATGGGAATATGCATAATGATCAGTGGGCTCCAAGATTCACCTGCCTTTTTCCCCTATAGTTGGTATTATCTAAAATAAACACACCCAGGGCTGGAGAGTGAGCTCAGCAGTTAAAAGCACTGGATGTTTTTCCAAAGGATCTGGGTGCCATTCTCTGCACCCACAATTGTCTGTAACTCCAATTCCAGGGGATCCAACTCCCTCTTCGGGCACAGATATACATGAATGGAACACACCCATACACATAAAATAATAGATAAATAAATCTCAAAAAAAAAACATATCCAGATTTTTATTTTATTTTATTTTATTTTATTTTATTTTATTTTATTTTATTTTATTTTATTTTCTGAAACAGAATCTCTCTATGTAGCTCTGGCTGTCCTGGAACTCACTGTCTGGACCAGGCTGGCATCAAACTCACCAAGATGTGTGTGTGTGTATGTGTGTGTGTAGTTATGTGCACTGGGGAAGTGTGGAGGTCAGAGAACAAACTATGGGGATTGGTTCTCTCCTGCCTCCATTTGACTTCCACAAATTACCCGCAGGTTGTCAGGTTTGTCAACAAGTGCCTTTAGCTCCTGAGCCATCTTAGCAGCACAAACAAGGACAGCTGGGACACAGTTTTTTATGTAGATACTGAGGACCCAAACTCAGATCCTCATAGCTGTGTGACAAACACTTTGTCAGCAAAGCATCTTCCTGACCCCTGTTTTCTTATTTTGGCACTGATGTTTAAATAGTAAGGTTGGTTAGTTAGTTAGTTAGTTAGTTAGAGACAGGGTCCCACTATGTACTTCTGGGTATCCTGGAACTCTCTATGTAGACCAGGTTAGCCTCAAACTAACAAGAGGCCTGAACGGTAAAATCAAATGCCTGAATTAAATTACCACCATTCCTGGGTAATATTAAGTTTTGTTTTGTTTTTTAAAAGCAGTTTGAGAGTCATATTAAACACAAGAACACATCAAGTGTCCTTTCTCTTCCCAACACAGACTTTCTATGAAACACCTCTTGGGACTTATGAATACTATTTTTCTTTAGCAGGAGATTTTTAAAAAGGATTCAATTAAGACTTTTATAAAGTAAGTGTGTGTGTATTTATGAGTGTTTGTTGGTATATATGCTGTCTACTGTCTTTTGTCAGAGTCCTAATCCCATAAAGATATCCCTGCATTCATGACTTCTTAGAGCACTAATTACCTCTCAAACTTTCCACCTCCAAATACTGTTCTGTTAGATACTGTGTTTCAACAACAAATATTGAGGCAATATATTCAACACACAACACATCCAACATAAAGGTCTTCCACCAACTTGAATTGGTGTGCTCTTATTGTTAGTATTTTGGAACACAACCTGCTCCTGGGTTACCCATCAACCTATGTCGTCATCATGTGTCGCCAGCCAGGTGACCACACCTGGAAGGCGTGGTTATCGTGCCCCTTAAAAGGGCTGATACCCACACATGGTCCCTCTCTTATTCTCTCTCTCTCTCTCTCTCTCTCTCTCTCTCTCTTTCTCTCAGCGCCCCATCCCCCCTTTCCCTCTCTCTCTCCCCACCATGTCCTGCTACCCCCTTCCTCCGTACCCTTCTAATAAACCTCTCGAAGAGAATATCGGTTGTCCCCCTGCTGCTTCTTCTTCTTTATGATTTTTAACACTTATGAACACTCCAAAACGATGAGTGACGTTGCTTCCAATGTATGCTGTTCTTGATGCACTCACAAAAATGTGTGAAACCAGCCATTATGTGTATCTAACATCTCATTACATTTACTGAAATAACTGGACAACTAAAAGAAAAAGCTAGTGATGGAAAACATATGATATTAGATGCACCACAGGGTTGCTGATTTGATATAAACAAAGAACAGTAAAATGATATGAAATTCTGCAAAGACATTTAAAATGGGTTAGATTCCTGTAAGAAATTAAGTCCAAAATAAAGAAAGTTGAAAGTGTATTTGAACCATTTATAAAACCAATATACCTACAAGGTTAAAAAAAAAAAAAAAAACACCTTAAGTTGAGCCATTGTAAGTCAGCGGCTATCTGTACAGTGAATAATATTAAATCCATGAAACAAACTTTAAAATACTTATGCTGGGCATGGAATTAGGTAGGCTAGTTGCAAACCCTCATATTCCCTCTGCTCCTTTAAGTTCAATGCCCTAGTTCTTAGTGCAGAACACTGCTGCAGACTCCCTTGCCCTTGAGTACTCATCTCCAGTGGACCACACAGATCTTCCCCTCCAAACATCCTTCACCAAACTCCTTGTTTGTCCCAGCACTCAGTTCCAGCAGGTTCTTCCTGGAAACCAACAGGCCACTCCTGCCAGCGAAGCACGTACATTAATTGCAGATCTTCACCTCTTCTCCATTCTTCCAAGTTCCCAGTTTCATACCCAGCTCTGTAGCAAACCTTCTGTGGTGGCCTCTCCTCACTCAATGCCCCCATTCCATGGGACTAACTAAGCAGGTGCTGATGGAACATCCTTATTTCCTCACTCATGTGAAACTCTTCCTCCAACTCCAGCATATTTCCATTCCTAAGTCTGAGGTTACAATACCATGAAATACATTTTACCTGGAAACCCGAGTGCTCATACC